TACAACTGCAGTTATAAACATGTTGTGAAGAACCACACTCGTTTCAAGTCCGTGTCGTTTGTTATCAAATAATCAAAATATACTCTAACTCTAATATTATGACTGATGTCCATTAATGAAAGTGTAAGAAAGGAAGATATATATTTAATTTTCTAAAAGAATCTTACTTTATAAGAAAATTATTCACATTTTTAAAATTTATATTATAAGAAATATCAATCAAAGATTCAACTCAAACATTGCCCGATAACATTTGTATGAAAATGCATTATGGCATGCAAAAGTTGGCCTTTGCCAACGTTGGGAATGGCATAAGTTGCATATTATGCCTGTATGGATAAGCACGTAATTTTTTGATATAACATATATTTATAAACGGTGTTATTTATTGTGTAGATTGAGATTGCTATGTTTTGGATAATACTCTAATAAAATATGAAAATATTTCGCTTTGTTTTTCTTAAAGATAATTAATTTTTTAATGTAATAACACCCCCGTTTGTTTTAAAATTTATATAAAAAGTAATAAAGTTACATTTAAAATTTAAATGACTTCTAGCTGCTATTGACATTTTTTCCTTGTATAAAATAAATCAAATTGAAACATCACATCTATAAAATATCTTAATTTTGGATTGGTGCACACAATGTTTTACAACCGGTTTTTTTTTCACATACTAGTAAAGTACAATCTGTACTTACAGCAGAAACATGGTGAGAGTAGTGTTCATGTACTCTTACCATGCACAATCGCGAATTGTAATTACTTGACAAGATTAGGTGGCACATTCACGGACACCGTTAGGTGTGATAAAGGACCACTTTGGGGATGAGAAGTTATATTTTCAAGCTTATATCGGTGTTTGGCTAATGATTCAACGGGCAGCGGCTGGTGCCAATATTACAGAAAGTCTCCGATTGGGAGGCCGTGTGGAAAGGAAACGAGCTCCACTGCTACGTATCGGGAACCTGTGCGCCTTATTGGATCATTAGTGCGATTGTGTAAATTGTTTCACCGTTACAGCCTGTCAAAAGTTCACTCCTGAACTTGGGCCTCCCCCGTTTCACCTATGTGAACGAGCTAGCCGCAAAAATTACCGTAGGTTTTTAATTTATTCGGAAGATACTTCTGGTTTCTTTCCCTCGGTTGCCCACCCTGATGCTACCCACGGGACGATATAGGGTAGTGGATATTTTTACACCACCACTTCACAGACAAATTAAGGATATTGTTATTGTAAAAAGAACTAAGAATAGGGTAAGGAAACTAGCTCCTGAAATACAGTTATAATACAGATACAATAACTGTCCTGTTACAGTGGTACGTAGATACTTCAATAATTTACACGCTCAGCTTTGGAAAAATTTTGTAGATTGTAGACAAGGTAGGGAGGCCCTACCTGAAATAAACAGTCGTCTAACCAAGGTTCTAATGAGAGTGAACAAGCCACAGATCAGGATAGTAACAAGTGCTATCACAGGACATGGCTCTTTTAACAAACATTTGTTCACCGTAGGTGTTACTGATAGCCCCCTGTGCAGAGCATGCATGGGAGAGGAAGAAACGGCGGCTCACGCGTTGCTGACATGTCCAGAAGTCTTCATACAGGGCTAAACATCTCGGCACGCCGGAATAGCTCCCCGAAGTTGCTTGCAACATCAAAGGACTGCTGAGCTTCTTCGGGGAGATATCATGGCTCGAATAACCATAGTATTCCTGCCCACACGCAAAATACGCGCTTAGACGTGGAGTTGCGGAAAACAGCCCGTCGTAAACTAAACTAACTAAACTAAAACTGTCCTGTTAGTCTAGCGGTTGTATTAGTGCAACTGCTGATCATGAGGTCCTGGGTTCGAACCCGGGTCGGGCCAAAAAATTATTTATTGAGTTTTTCTGTCAAGAAATTCTCAGTAGCTGTCCGGAGTCAGAAAGTTGGCGGTGTCTCACGCCCGTGCCTCGGAAAGCACGTAAAGCGTCCTGCGCCTGATCTCTCTCCGGTCATGTCGGTTTACCGTCCCATCGGATTATGAGAGCGAGGAAATATAGAGTGCACCTGTGCTTGCGCATACACTTGGACACTATAATCCTGCCCTGCGTCGATGGCTAGCCTCCGTTGAGGCAGTGTCCGTGTCTTCGTAAGACACGGTCTTTAGCCAATTTATAATCAAAATCTTGCAGTCCTTGGCATTTCTACAGTAAATATTAAGCTTTTTGTTGACAAAATTATATAGATTGGTTAATGAACTGACTTCTAGCGAATGCAGTTTTAACACAAAATGAATTAAGTACAATGTCTTTTCTTCTTTTGTTCAAAATATTTGGGTCGAAAATCAGACCTTTATGCTTTTTTAATATTGTGTGCAAAATATATAATTTTCTTATACTTAGTATATCAGTTTTTAAATACAGGCTTTTGGTTGGGAATTTATAAGGCAAAAAGTACATTGTCTTTACTAAGGCACGTTGAGCTCTTTCTAATTGCAACAATTTTGTTTTTGTTGCTCCTCCCCATATCGGAAGGCAGTAAGTTATTAACGATTGAGCTAATGCTGCATAAATTTTGTTAATGAGCGTATCTGAAGTAATATGTCTAAGCGTTTTAAAAATCCAGGCTAATTTTCTAAATCTACATGTTATTACATCGACATGTTCATGCCAATTAAACGTTCATCTATAATGATCCCCAAATACTTTTTTGAAGAAACTTTTGTAATGACAGAACAGTTACAATTTTGAACTTCGTCAATGTTGCAAGTGTGTATCTTTATGTTAAATTTATTTCCTGGTTGAGCTCGGTTTTTAATAGTAAAACAAATATAATTAGTTTTAAGTGCATTAAACGTTAGAAAATTAGATTGAAGCCAGCTTGCATTATAGTAAGTCCAGATTCTCTATTTTTACAAATCTTATCCCATGATGCTCCAGTAAAAACCACAGCTGTGTCATCGGCATATGTGAACACACGGGCACCATTAATTTTCGGATTACAAAGATCATTGATAGAAATTAGAAACAATGTTGACCTCAGGACATAGTTCATTTTGCATAGATCGGACCATAAACAATAATTAAAAAAGCTGAAGGTACTCCGGGTTTAACAATGACATCGGGACGTCAGTCATCTCAGTCCCCCGTGACCATGGGTGCTGGAAAGCGCCCGAAACGTCGGGAATTAAAAATAAAAAGTAAAAATAAACGCGATAAAATCCGTAAAAGTAGTTTTAATCAAGTAATTCTTAAACGATGTCAAGTTTGTGTCTCTGATGCCGATGTTTTCTAATTTTTGTAAAAGGATGGGGATAGAGATAGCATTAAAGGCCTTTTTAAGGTCTAGAAAAACTGCAAGACATTTTTTACCCTGATCTAAGTTGTTAATTATATACGAGCTAAGAGCTAAGATTGCATCTTCTGTGGATTTACCTTGTCTGAATCCATACTGACAGTCAGACAAGATATCGAACTTAGTAAGATAACTTAATAATCTTGTGTTGATAAGTTTTTCTAATATCTTAGAAAGTGAAGGTAGTACTGAAATAGGTCTGTAGTTGCTAACATCACCTCTATCCCCATTCTTATACACTTGTGTTATAACAGCTTGCTTTAAAGGTTGAGGAAAAACGCCATGCTTAAAACAAATGCTTACAAAGTGACAGATTATAGGAGTAATTTGAGTTACTGCAAGTTTTAGAAAGTGCGCTGGAATGTTATCCCATCCAGGACACTGTTAGATTTTGGGCTCATGATAACATCATGTACCTCGTAAGGATCTGTATCTAGCAAGACAAAGGATGAAAGCTGGGGTTGTCCAACCAGTGTTATACATTTACTATCGTTATTTCTAGTTATTATTTTTTTGGCAAGATTTTTGCCTACACTGGCAAAGAAGTTATTAACATATTTTACCGAATCTAATGGTGTTGCTTTTGCTTGTAATAAATCTGTATTACTAATTTTTGTTTGATTTAAATCCGCTATTCTTTTAATATTTCTCCAAATTAATTCTGTCTAAATCGCACTATTGTGGGTTTGATTACTGTGGAGTGAACACGGGCTCCGATTGTTAAATATATGCATAACTAAAATATACATTATAACACGAATTATGAACTATTTGTCGATTATGGTTCTATTAAAGGGTAGTCGGACCAATAGATGAACGCCCCCTAGTAGATGAATGAAACGAACGTTTTATTTAATTTAAGAATTCAGTGATGCCTTAACAGTAGTACCATATTTTTCTTGAAGGTTTAACACTATACCTTTCATTTATAATCAATAAACCGTCACTCAAGAGTCAATCGCGCTCTAGGAGCTCATTCAGTGCATAACTGTTTCGGAAATTTGTATTTTGTATGTAGAACGAGCAAAGGTGAGTTTACCAGTTTCTTAAGCTTATGAGTGGATTGCCGATTTGTTGATATTGTTAGATCCCAATTATTTATTTCTTTACAATTACAATGACTATTTTCTGAAGTAGAAAGTCAAAGAAAATAAGTTATTTTTTTTAAGGTTTTTGAGAAATTTAGTGTTCAATTACTGGTCTAAAAAAGATTCGCTCGATTCAGTCGACCCAAGCGTCGCAGGCACATCACACAACGACACTACACCCACATTAAATGGTACAAACACAATTAGGACAACGAATGGGGCGCGTCGCACCCGCAGACGGGCACGACGCGTTCCAGCTCACACCGCGTACACACCGTACACCCGCGTTCCTGGACGGTTCTCACCGCCCAGACCATCGACCGACGAGCTGAGCAGTCAGAGACGGGGGTCCGCACACCCCCCCTCGGACTGCGGTTAGATAGCTCAAGGAAAAAACGCCTAAAAGGCGACATGATGATTGATAACAATATCAAATCATAAATCATTCATCATCATTTCACCTCATTGCCTTTCCCTTTTTAATTAGCTCGCGGCCTTGCAGGCCGCGAGCCCTGTGACAAGATGAAGCTGTAAGAGTCGTATAGACTAACAGCATTAACATCAAGATAAT